GGGAAGCCTGCTTCTCCCTCTCCCACTCCCCCTGCTTGTGTTCCCTGCTCTCGCTGTCAAATAAATAAATAAAATCTTTAAAAAAAAAAAAAAGATTTTATTTATTTGTCAGAGAGAGAGAGCACAAGCAGGGGGAGTGGCAGGCAGAGGGAGAAGCAGGCTTCCCGCTGAGCAGGGAGCCGGATGCGGGACTTGATCCCAGGACCCTGGAATCATGACCTGAGCCAAAGGCAGATGCTTAACCACCTGAGCCACCTAGGCATCCCTGTCTGGATTATTGAAACTTGATTTCTCTGTCTGATATCTTTTGGCTCCTAGTTGTATTTTCTTTTTAATACTTTTTATTACATAATATTAAGTTTATTGCAGAAAACTTGGTGGTTACAAAAAGCACAAATAAAATCAAGTGATCGTCTATAATGTCACTACTGAGAAGTAGCATTTTGGTTCATATTCCACATTTCTGTGAACATGTGTTTGTGGTGGTTTTAATGAAATTGATATCCTATTGTACATTGCTGTTTTGTATTTAGTACATTTTGATAACTTAGTCATACTGTTAAGTATGCTTTTATAGTATGTTTCTCTAGTGGCAGCTTAATAATCTTAGGGTTCAGTAAGTATGAGTTATTAGCTGATACTATTCTAAGTACTTTACATGTATTAACTAATTTAATCCTCACAACAGCCTTGTGAGGTAGGTGATATCCTCATTTTACAAATGGAGAAACTGGCACAGGGTGATTAAAAGCTTGTCCCTATATATATCCCTAGCAAGTGATAGAAGCAGGATTTTGAACCCAGGGAATTTAGAATTTTGTGCTTTACTATATTATATAAATTCTATCATAGAGTGTAATATGCTGTATTTAACCAATCTTCTGAATATCCTTGCTGGATATTTAGGTTTACCAAGGTTTTGGTTTTTTGTTCTTTGGTTTTTTCCCTGTAAAAATAAAATCTTCAACAAAGGTGAAATCCTTCTCTTCACATCTCATATTTTCTTAGACTAGATTCCTGGAAGTGTTATTGAGCCAAAGTATATCTTGAAGTATTTGGATATCTATTACCATAATGTTCTCCAGAAAGGGTATACATACAATTGTGTTTTCCCAACAGTAATATTTTTTTTTTTTAAGATTTTATTTATTTGAAAGAGAGGGATAACAAGAGAGCACAAGCAGTGGGGGAGGGAACAGGGAGAAGCAGGGTCCCGATTGAGCAGGGAGCCCGACATGGGGCTCGATCCCAGGACTCTGGGATCATGACCTGAGCTGAAAGCAGATGCTTAACTGACTGAGCCACCCAGGCGCCCCTCCTAACAGTAATATTGTCTATACCCTTGTAATTTTACTAGTTTGGCCGTTGAAAAAGAACATAACATTATCTTATGTATTTTTCTTTCTTATTTTCTTTTCTACTATCTTTTCTTCTTCTATCTTTATTTCTTTGGAATTGCCTGTTATGTCCAAATGCATTTTAAAGGTCAGTTTCATGGGGACACCTTTGTGGGACTGTAGAATCAAGGGAAAAAATCCACAAAAGCATGAGAAAGCATATTACCTAACATTTCTACATCTTGGACATGCTTCCAGTATCATAAATACATAAACTGTATATCGATTAAAGGTTTAAGTTTTCTGAAGTCTTTTATATCACATTTTCTTTGGATCGTTCATTGTAATTGCCAGTGTTTTTTTCTTTGACAGTTGATGTCCTGTTGAAGGCTGTGGGAGACACCCCTATAATGAAAACAAAGAAGTGGGCTGTAGAGCGAACCCGAACCATTCAAGGACTCATTGACTTCATCAAAAAATTCCTTAAGCTTGTGGCCTCGGAACAGTTGGTATGAAAGCAACGGTGATCATTTCCCTACATAAATTCGCAGTAGTTCCTAGGCAACTATGAATAATTGTTGTACACAGAAATACAGTATTTTAAGCAAAATGGATGTTAAGGAAAAAGGAGCCACATATGTTCCTTTAGTAATGTCTTTATTTCTTTTGTTGATGGGATTTCTGTACTTTATTGAATTCTCTGTGGAACTCTGAAATGAAATGATTTTTAGATTTGCTTTTATGGTGCAAACCACTTTTTTACCTACTATATTGGTTTGTTTGTTTTTTTCTCATTGACCATGCAGAAAGATCTCTCATAAAACATTGGTACAGAGAAGTTCTGGGATTTTTTTTTTTTTTTTAAAGATTTTATTTATTTATTCATGAAAGATAGGGAGAGAGAGAGAGACAGGCAGAGGCAGAGGGAGAAGCAGGCTCCCTGCTCAGCAGGGAGCCGGATGCGGGACTCGATCCCAGGACTCCGGGATCATGACCTGAGCCGAAAGCAGACGCTTAACCATCTGAGCCACCCAGGCGCCTGAGAAGTTCTGGGATTTTTAAAATTTGTTTTGCTATCAGTGTTCCTTTCCAGTATTCTTGAGGTAAGCAATATATCTTTTGCAACGTCATGGAAGAACTAAGAGAGATGCCTATTTCATAG